CCTCCTCTCTCCCCCTCCTCTCTCCCCTCCTCTCCTCCTCGGTTCCCCTCCTCTCTCCCCCTCCTCTCTCCCCTCCTCGGTTCCCCTCCTCTCTCCTCGGCTCCCTTCCTCTCTCCTCGGCTCCCTTCCTCAGTCCTCCACTCGCATCTCCTGCGGGCGGGACTAAGTCTCGAGGATAGGAGTCGAGGATAGGAGTCGAGGATAGGAGTCGAGGAGGGGAGTTAGTGAAATGAGAAAGGGCCCTGGAGTCTTTTAGAAAGGGCTTTGTAGGTCCCAAGAGTGTTTTGAGGAGATGCTTTGTATTGTTGGTCCTTCTGCAGGTTATTGGACCATTGAGGTGATTCCAGGTGTCCTTCATGAAGCCCTAATGAAGGTCCCAGAGCCCTTAGAGGCCGTCAGAGGCTGTCGGGCATTCGCGGCGCCGTAGTCAGGTTGGTGTGTCCCGCACCGTCTGTCGTGACACGCCTTATTTGGACTGCCTGACCCGATGCATGGCCGATTCAACATGCACTGCAAATTCGCCAGTGTGAAAATCCTGGTGTTAGAGCTTTTCGGGGTAAAGTGTTGTGGTTTTGGTGTTACATTTAACATGATAAACACCGCCTGTTGTTAAAACACTATATAGTACAGGGTTGGATCATGGTGTTAAACATATTTAACGACGGATAGTGTGTTCTCTCAATCCGGGTACTTTTACGTGATGTGCATGAAATTATTTAGATCTCCGCCATCTTTTTGATGCAACCTTCAGTCTCGAGAGACCGCAGTCCGTGACGGTAAGTTATCGCTACGTTTCATAATTTGTTCCCCAGATAGCTTACATTGATTTTGCTTAAATACAGTTGTGTGTGGTAGGTAGCGTAATTGTAAATGTATTGTTTTCATTACTAGCTTGCTAATTATTGCTATTTGACTGTCATGACCAGGTGCAGGTGCACAGACCATACAGTCAATGCTTGCTTGCTAAACTAACTGTTGAATTATATATGGATGTCGAATTAACGTTAGATATGTAACATAAAATGTAATCTTTACGAAGACCAATGTATTGCACATGTCTATCGTTAGTTCGACAGCGAGCTAACAAGCTCTAGTGTCCGTAAAAATGTTGTTCGATAATTGCCGCCTTTTCCTTTTCTAGCATGTTCTCCGTCAAGTCTCCGTCTCCGTCTTGCAGCAAGTGTGATCGCTTGGCCTCGCCCTCGACAGACTGCAGTGAGTGACGGTAAGTTATCTAGATAACGTTACATTTAATTTGTTCCCCAATTATCTAACATTACTTAATTTGAAAATGACGTTACAGTTGTGTGTGTGGTAGCTAATAATGTTTACTGGCTTGCTAAGAATATTTGTCTGTACTGGCTGTGCACCTGCTTGCTAAACGTTAGCTAGCTGGCTAGCCAGTTAGCTAGCTGGCTAGCTGTCGAATTAGACACGGATGTCAAATTGGATAACATTAGCTATGTTACATACTATTATGTCATTACAAACACCAACGTATTGCACATGTCTAACGTTAGTTCGACAGCTAGCTAGCTAAGAGGTTCTGGTGTCGGTCCTTATCGGTATAGTTTGCCGACTTCGCTAACAACTTTTTTTCTTCCAATTTCCTTTCTATCACTATCTCAGTGTCACCTAAGCAGCCATCAGTCCCCGCAGGTTTCGACCGTGTGGTCTCGACAGACCGCGTGACTGTAAGTTATCTACGTTTCATTGAATTTGTTCCCCAAGTGAAATTATTTAAGTGTATGTACAGTAATAAAGTTGTTGGCAAATTGGCTCCTTTTCCTTTCTAGCACGTGTTCTTCTGCTCCGTGTGGAAGCAGCCCTCTTGTGTGGCCTCGACAACAGACTGCATGCAGTGAGTGATGATACGTTATCTAGATAACGTTACATTTAATTGAATTTGTTCCCCAGTTAGCTAACATTAGTTAACTTCCCTTGAAAATAATTGTAGTTGTTTGTGGTAGCTAATAATGTTAACTATCTTGCTAAGAATATTTGCAACCCAGTCTCACGGCATACATTTAATCTATTGATTCGTGTTCACAAACACGATTTTCGCATTTCACACAGAACGATTTTTCTTTTCTTGGAAGACCAGAAGCTGTGTGGTTCATAAAAACATTTTCTTACTCAATATCTTACCCTTAGCCTAACCCTTTTATTTTAAATGGTATAATGTCGGAGGAAAATAAATGGCTCAGAGGCTCAGAATACTGAAGTCTGTATTTTTTGTCATCTTTTTTTCCTTGTAATTTGTTATTATTTGGTGCAGGCACGAAACATATTACCAATACAAATGCATTGCTTCTAAAATCGGTCTGTGTCAGAATACTGAAATCTATTTGTTTTTAAAATCTCTTTTTCCTTCTAATTTGTTATTATTTACATTGCTTTCAAAGTCGTTCTGTGTGACACGAAAACAATGGGGAAATCGTGTTGGTGAACACGAATCAATAGATTACTTTTTTGACTATAACACAAAATGCCGTGAGACTGGGTTGCAACACACCAACACTGTGCTTAATTTGGTCCCGAAACGTTTGTCATGCACAGATAGAAGCCTCTCAGCTTAAAGATACAAAAATAAAAGAACAGAGCATAAAGTAGAATTTATTTATCTAAAGACAGTTCCAATTTATATTATGCCACCCTTATACAATTTGAGTATTTGCTTGCTTAAGAAGGGGAAGTTGTGATGCATCATGTGAAAAATCTAATAACTTATAACAAATGTTGTGTATCTCCATTTTACCCATATAGGGCTCTTGCTCTGCTCTTCAGCTGAAGATGATTGTCAAAGTGCAATACCGAAACCAAAAGAAGTACACCGTGTGTGTGTGTGTGTGTGTGTGTGTGGTGTGTGGTGTGTGTGTGTGGTGTGTGGTGTGTGTTTGTGTGTGTGTGTGTGTGTGTGTGTGTGTGTGTGTGTGTGTGTGTGTGTGTGTGTGGTGGAGGAGGAAGAGACTGGCACAGAAGTGGACGACTACGCATTTCCAGATCTACTCACTACCAGTGGAATATGCTTTGTCATCAAAGATGAACTGAATGACGGTGGTGAGTGGCGACAATAAACCCTTTTCTCAGCAGCTATGGTGACGTCATAGCAGGGTAAACACAGGTGTAATAGATCAAATAAATATTGGCCCGATCTATTGTGTCACAGCCATTCCAGTGAGACAGCATATTATCAGGGCCCTGGCCTGCCTACATCCTAAATTACATCTCTGTTTACGCTGCATGTCGACATGGCTGCTGAGAAAAGGGTCTATTTTACATCTCTCAATTGTATTGTATGCTGATTATCCCCATGCAAGTGTCAAGCACACCACACATTTCATTGCTATAAACCAGGGATCACCAACTACATTTGTCCAAGGGCCAAAATGTATCCAGATAGACACTATCGTGGGCCAGCGATTTTTATATAGTCCACAATGCTAATGGAGCACGCTCAGGTACTGCGGACCGCATAAAGCTTAGCAGACTCTTCGCGCTAACGAAGCATCACTTCTAGGCAGGGTTGGGAGGGTTACTTTGTAAATGTAATCAGTTACTGAATACATGCTCTGAAAGTAATCAGAATACAGTTAGTAACATATTCAGATTACTTTTAGAATACTTTCCTTTTCCATAACAGATGGGTATGTTTTGGGGAACAGGAGACACTTTTTTTACTGTTTTCATGGCTTATCAAGAACTCAAACACAACATTGGTGTCATTCTGGACAGCTCTCTCTCATCTGCACCCACATCAAAAACATCACCCGGACTGCATTCTTTGTACTGTCTTAAAACCTTTCCTTGGAATATGTTATGAATAGTAAGGTGTCCTTGGTGCTTTGAAAGGCGCCCCTAAATAGAATGAATTATCATTATTATTATTATCTGAAACGATGTAATAACTTGTAAAACTTGTTCCAGTCACTTGCCCCATGCATTCAGCAGCAGCAGGCCATTCACTTTGATTGTATCCCGTTATGAAATGTCATCATTTCGACAATAAAGAAATGCTACATAAACGTTGTCTTGCAAATTTTATTTAACCATCTCCGTTTCTAACTTTCAATATATTTTAAAAGAGATCTCTCTCTCTCTGCGTGCGGGGGCGGGGCCTCACAGACACGCTGCATCTCTCTCTCGCTCACAGACATTATGCAGCGCCGTGCAGTGTGCACACAGTTCTGCCGGTAATGAATATTACATTTTGTGAGGAAACTTTTCCTCCAATAATTCCAAAATGTATTCACTTCAGGTTTACGAAAGCAACTGTAATCAGATTACTCGTTTTTCAAATGTAACGCCAGCTGAATACAGTTAGCCTACTTGATTTTTGTATTCTGATTACGTAACGCCGTTACATGTATTCCGTTACAACCCAACCCTGCTTCTAGGCTACTGTCCCGCAGCTCCTGCCTCTCTGTTGGACTCTGTCGCAGCGGGGCTACTGCTGTGGTGCGGAGCGCACAAAGCAGACTCTTCACAACGAAGGATCACTTCTTCTTCAAGGCAGGGAAAGTTTCGGAGTTCGCAGTCTACTGACCCGCAGCTGCTGCCTCTCTGTTGGACTCCGGTACTGCACCTTACTCATGAGACGTTGTGGGGAAAAAAATGGGCGTGTGGCGAACGCAGTAACCACTCCGCCAACGCCACAGTCACCCCAGTCGTGCGGGCCGGATGAGAATGTCTGGCGGGCCGGATGTGGCCCGCGGGCCGCCAGTTGGTGGTCACTGCTATAATCAATACTATCTTAAAAGATAGATCAATCAATCAATCAATGTTTATTTATATAGCCCAATATCACATGTTACATTTGTCTCAGTGGACTTTACAGTTTGTACAAAATATCAGTATGACAATACGACACCCTCTGTCCTTAGACCGTCTGTCCTTAGACCCTCTGTCCTTAGACCCTCACATCGTACAAGGAAAAACTTCTGAAGAAAACCCACAGTTTAAAGGGAACATGGGAGAAACCTCAGGGAGAGCAACAGAGGAGGGATCCCTCTCCCAGGACGGACAGACGTGCAATAGATGCCGTGTGTAAATTGAAAAGATAATACATTTGCAACATAGGTAGTCCAAATGTTTGGAAATGCATGTGTGTATAATAGGAAGATGAATCCACGAGGATATCCATCCAGGACCTATGATCCAGGACCACAGCCACGACTCAAGATCCAGGGCTCGCGATGCAGGACACAGGACCGCAGGATCATCCATGACTCCGGATCCCGGCGTATATAGACACCAAAAAGAAAGACATGTGGGGAAGCTGGGTTAATGGGAACATGAGAGTACACAGGTATAGACAGAGAGAAGGAAGAAGTAAGATGTCCCCCGACAAACTAAGCCTATATCAGCAAAACTATGGGCTGAATCTAATCAGCCCTAACTATAAGCTTTATCAAAAAGGAAGGTCTTAAGCGCACTCTTAAAAACGGATAGGGTGTCTGCCGCCCGAACACAAACTGGAAGCTGATTCCACAAATGTGGAGCTTGATAAGAAAAGGCTCTGGCTCCCATTGTACTTTTAGAGACTCTAGGAACAACCAACAACCCTGCATTCTTGGAACGCAATGCCCTAGTAGGACAGTAGGGTATAATGAGTTCTTTAAGGTAAGATGGCGCCTGCCCATTAAGGGCTTTGTAGGCGAGAAGAAGAATTTTAAATTCTATCCTGTGTTCTATAGGGAGCCAGTGTAAGGCAGCCAGAACAGGAGTAATGTGGTCCCTTTTCCTAACTCTGGTTAGTACACGAGCCGCAGCATTTTGAATCAGCTGAAGCCACTTGACTGACTTCTTGGTACACCCTGATAATAAGAGTTACAATAATCCAGCCTTGAAGTAACAAATGCATGGACTAGTTTCTCTGCATCGTTTTGAGGCAAGATATGCCTGATTTTTGCAATGTTACGTAGATGGAAGTAGGCGGTCCTTGAAATAGATTTTATGTGGGCGTTAAAGGATAAATCCTGATCAAATATAACACCAAGATTCCTTACAGTCTCACTGGAGGCCAAATTAATGCCATCCATAGTTAGTATATCTTTAGATCATTTGTTTCGTAGATTCTTCGGGCCAAGTACAATAACTTCAGTTTTGGTCGTGTTTAACATCAAAAAGTTTAAGGTCATCCACGTTTTTAAGTCCTTAAGGCAGTCTTGAATTTTATTTAGATGATTAATTTCATCAGGCTTGATTGATAAATATAGTTGAGTATCATCCGCATAACAATGAAAGTTTACAGAATGATTCCTTATAATATTGCCTAACGGAAGCATATATAATGTGAACAAAATAGGTCCGAGCACTGAGCCCTGTGGCACTCCATGGCTAACTTTGGTTTGCGTGGAAGATTCATCATTGACACGTACAAACTGAGAGCGTTCAGATAGATAGGACCTAAAGCAGCCTAAAGCAGTTCCCTGTATGCCAACTAAGTGCTCTAGTCTTTGCAATAAGATATCATGGTCGATAGTATCAAATGCAGCATTGAGATCGAGCAAAACAAGAATAGAGATGTTATGTTTTGCATGGGGCTTTTGTTGTTTTTGTGTTTTACTTGTTGTGTGCTCCTTTTACCCCTCACTACTCTGTCTTTCTGTCTCTGCAGGGCTGGTGTGTGACAGGGGGGCGTGGCCGGTTACTCCTGGCAGATGAGGCACACCTGTCCCCACTCACTTGATTACCTGCTCTTTAAGAGCCTGGCCCTCACCTCACTTCTCTGTCAGAGTATTTTTCCTGCTGTCCCGCGGTCCGGAGTGCCTTTCTGCAGCCTGGAGTCTGTTGTTGTTCACTTTGCAGTTAGTTAAGGAGTTCTTTTTGAGTTTTGGTCGGGAACGTTTTCCCGCAGCTTTATTTTTGGATTTACTACGGCCAGCCAAGCTCCCTGTCGTCAGTACCTGCCTTGGACTACCTTTGTTTATTAAACTCATTGAAACTTTATTTTTGTCAGTCTCTGCTTTGGGGTCCAGTAGTATCGAAACGTCACAGAATACTCTGGCCAATATGGACCCTGCAGAGAATGAGAGACTCAGGGAAGCGCTTGCTGCTCAAGGGCCAATGATAGGGCAACATGACAGAGCTCTGCAGAGAGTTATGGAAGCGATTCGGGATTTAACCGCCGGTGTGACCAACATCGGAGGCCGTATGGAACAGGTCGCAGCACATCTCTCCACACTCCCGCTGACTGCCGATGCTCAAGCTACAGACCCTGCTCCTCCACCTCAAGCTGATACGGAACGACAGCCCGGCAATCCTCGTGAGCCCTTTATCCCCACACCCGTCAGGTATTCAGGAGATTTAGGGTCTTGTAGTCAGTTCTTACACCAGTGTAGTCTTGTGTTTGAGCAACAGCCTTTCACTTATGCCACTGATAGAACTAGGGTTGCTTTCATCATGAGCCTACTGAGTGAGAAAGCAGCAGCATGGGCCCTTGCCATATCTAACAGCAACTCGCCTATTAGTCAGTCTCTGTCGTCTTTTACTGCAGAGATGCGTAGAGTGTTTGATCATCCAGTGAGGGGGAAGGAGGCTGGTAAAAGACTCCTTTCATTCCACCAGGGTTCAGGCTCAGTTGCTGATTTTGTTATTGATTTCCGCATTCTTGCAGCTGAGAGCGGTTGGGGAGACATGGCTTTGCTGGGAATTTTTTATAAAGGGCTTAATGATGAGTTAACGGATGAACTAGCTGCTAGGGATGAAACCTCCTCCTTAGAGGAGTTGATTTCTCTAGCGATACGACTAGATAACCGCCTCCGCGAGAGGCGTAGGGAGAGATCAGCAAAGAATAGCTCCACCTCCTTTCCCCCTCCGTCCAAGTTTCCTAGTCGGCCGGCATTCTCTGGACCTTCTCGCCATCCTCCTGACTCCGGGCCTCCCAGACCTTCTACAGCTAC